GCTTTGAACTGTCATAATGTAGCAAAACACACCAGGTTTTACCTTGGATAGTTATGGTTCAATGTGACTTCCATTGATAATGCGGTAGACGTCCCACCTGCACTCAGTCTCTTGCCACACGCTACGTAGCATCTCTGGCGTCACTTCTGCAACTGAGGCAGTAATTCGAGTTTGGAGCTCAACAAAATTTCCAGGCAAAGGTGGTACAAACACTCGCTCTTTAACGAATCCCCATAAGAAAAAATCCAGGGGAGTAAGATCCAGGTAATGAGGTGGCCATGCTATCGGCGCCACTCTACCAATCCACCGACCTGGGAAACAGGTGTTGAGGTACTCGTGCACTTCTCCAAGGTAATGAGGGGGTGCACTGTCTTGCTGGAAGTGAATGCGTCCTTCTTCGTCATCTTAGTCTAACTGTGGAATGAGGAATTCTTGGAGCATGTCCAGATATATGATACCTGTAGAGGTCATCTTCATGAAGAAGGGGCCGTACACTCTTTCTTTGCTGAGGGCGCAAAACACGTTCACCTTTGGGCTATCATGAACATGTTCCAGGGAGACACGTGGATTTTCGCTGCCCCAGATCCTGCAGTTGTGGGTATTGACCTTACCACTGACATGAAACGTGCTCTCATCACTGAAAATTACGGAGTCCAGAAACTTCTCATTGTCTTGTATCCGATGAAACATTTGCATCTGTAGGGTGTTGAACGATGGATAGTTTGTACACTTTTAAGTTTAAACGTTTTCATAACACTTGCCACACAGTAACATTTGGAATACCAGTTTCCCGAGACACACATCGCGTTGACTTTCATGGACTTCGAACGAAGCTCTCCCTAATCTGTTCCACTGTAGTGTCAGAAACACGTGGCCGACCAGGTGGCTTGGCATGGCGCACAGAACATCCGGTCTGAACAAAATTCTTGTGCCAGGAGTAAATTGTAAGCCTACTGGGAGGTTCCTTGCAATACTGAGTGCGAAATTTCCTTTGAACTTGTGTAGCAGAATTCGTTCCTTCGAACCAAAACACAACAAGCACTCTTTGCACCTGTGAAAGTAGCCGTCTTGATTTCAACTGCGGGAGCGCTCGCGGTGCAGTATTGGGTACTACAGTACCATGTGCATAAAAATCGGTGTGTTTTACTACATTATGACAGTTCAAAACGTTGTGTATGTCCTCTGTATAAATTTATATAAACTTTCAAAGTTGTGAAGCTCTTTTTGAAACACCCTGTATAATAGTGGTAAACATATAGGAGTAGAAATCTGTGCAGTAGGAAAGTGAATTTCATGAATTTTGCTCAAGAGTCCTTGTATATAATTCCGGTTTCAGTGGTCATCTAATGTGAAAGCAGTTTCTGTTGTGAATGAAATAGTCTTATATTTCTGTGTTGCTTAGATTCATGTTTGAGGGCAAAGAGATGAAGTTTGTTCAGCAATGTGCATCCTTCGTCACCATGAACCCTGGGTATGCTGGTAGGACAGACCTTCCTGATAATCTCAAAGCTATGTTCCGACCAGTATCTATGATGGTACCAGATTATGGTAAGGGTTACTGAATTGCATATGAAATTTTAAGTTCCCATTGCAGTGTCTCTGAAGATTTAAGTCTTCTGGGATGTAACATCTTGGAGTTAGGTCAATATTTACGAATGTTTTGTAGGTATGTCTGTCTTCCACTTGGATATATGAAGGTGATATACGACTATTCCTCTAAAACATTGGTATTTACCGTAGTACCTTGCATCTTGTACCAGAAGGCAGTAATCTTCTATTTATTTATTTATTGCTTATTTAATAACTATGTCAGCAGCTTAGACCATTGTTTCTCAACTGCTGGGCCCAAGCATCAGTTATACTGGGCCCTCGTTTTACAGAAAAAAAGAGTTAACCGGGCTATGGTCTGACAAAGGTTGAGAAACACTGCCTTAGACTGTACTGCACCACATGATTGAGTTGCAGTGGAAAAGATGTGGAGGAAAGCATGTTTAGACAGTTTTTAGGGATGAGATGACTTAGCTTTATAAACAAGTAAATAAATAAGTAAACAAATAAATAAATAGATATTCTACCTACTTTCTTCTCATATCTGAATGTGTTAAACTATTCTTACATTTAGAGGAGCCGGGGTAGCATAGTTGGTATAGCACCTGGCTATGGGCTGGACGACCGAAGGGTCAGAGTTCGAGTCCCGGTGCGGGCAAGAATTTTCTGTTCTCCAGGTCGTCCAGACCAGCTCTGTGGCCCACCCAACCTCCTATTCAATGGGTACTGGTGGTCCCCTGTGGGTAAAGCGACTAGAGCGTGAACCTGACCGCTCACCTCCAGCTAGTACCAAGGTCAATAAAATGTGGATCTATACATCCACTCCTCCATGCATCTTCATGGCTTAGTGCTTAATTCGTTGAGCAGAGGGACAACCTTACTTTTTTTTTATTCTCATAGTGGGGGGTGGAGTCCAGCTGGGTCCACCTGGCATGCCAGCCACTGATTGGCCTATTGTAGCCTGCCCTGGGTGAATATGATTATGGAGAATTTGGTGGAATGAAGATTGGCAAGGGAAACCAAAGTACTCGGAGAAAACCCGCCCCAGCACCACTTTCTTCACAACAAATCCCACTTGACCAAATGCGGGCCGCCGCTGGGGGAAACCTTACCTTTAGTCTTAACGTCTTTAATGTTGAGATAAAGAAGATAAGCACTTTTATTCTTTTGTTACAATCTTTACAGCATGGTAATATAATGTAACATATAAATGCACCCTTTTGAGTTGAGGTGCCAAACTTTATGGATATAAGGGGAAAATCGTACCACCAGCAGATGTCTATCAAAATGTGCATCTTACCATATTTTACTAGATTTCTTTTTGTGAGTAATGCTTAGAGTTTACTATGATATTATCAACTTTCAGTTCATCATCTTGCCTTGAAGTAAAACTATGTAAAGTTACAGGCAAAATTATCTCCTTTTACTGCTCTGTTTCAGCTCTGATAGCAGAAGTCATGTTATTTTCTGAAGGCTTTGAATCTTCTAAGCTCCTGGCCAGTAAGATGACTCAGTTGTATAAATTTTGCAGTGAACAACTCTCACAACAAGATCATTACGATTTTGGCATGAGGTTGGTGCTTTTGTCCTTTTGCTTTGAATGATACATACAGTTACTAGAATAATGAAATGAAATGATAAAATAAAAATAAATTTACCCCTGTGCTTTGTTGATGAAGCACCATGTCATGAAGATTATTTATGGGGGCTAGTGGAGGTATAGCTTCACCCTACCTAACCTCAGAATTAGAAGAAGGTGAGTGGTCAGCTTCTGGAAAGAATATTTTGAACAATTATTAAATCAAAATCGGAATTTGGAAGATAACGAGGACAATGAAGAAGGAAATACAGATGATGAAGAAGGGGAAGAGGAAGAGATAATAGAGCCTCCAACAAAGGAAGAAGTGGAAGAAGCATTAAAGGAACAAAAACTAAATAAAGCACCAGGAGGAGATAACATACCAGCAGAATTATTGAAGGCAGGAGGACAAGAAGGAATAATAGCACTCCACAGAATTATAAATAAAGTGTGGGAAGAAGAAAAGATAC